GTTCCTTCCCCCTGTGAAGCCCGAAGTCAGCTAAAGGGCTTATGATAACCATCAAAACGCATGGCATTTGAAATAAATAAATTTGGTGCATATACATTTGCAGATGCAGTGGAATTCACAAAAGCATACTCAAAGGCAGATTTGAGTATGCTTAGCATTTTACGACTCCGTACAAAAAATGCGAAATACTTAAAACCTGATTGCGTAATGTGAATGACAACTGCTCGAACTCTCATGAGACCTGTTACCTTAAAAGTTGTACCGCCAAATACAATAAACTTACAAGGAAAAACTTGGCTCATTCTCTGACAAACCGGGCATGTGCTCTACAATAATTATTCCACAAGTACAACCATTTTCTAACAGAGTCCTATTGTTCAACTTAACCCTAAAGTTAGCCGGAGTTCATCTACAATGGCCAGAACACATGGAGCGACATGTGAAAAAAATTGCACTACAAAGTCCCTAGTAATTGGGAGGAATAAGGGCCTCGGTGCAAGAATATTGACTGTTGACTAGCTGAGAGTCCCCATCATGATACTCGATATCCGATTAGTAGCACAACTTCACTTTTTTAGAACATTTTGTGCTCGTGAGATTCCTTCAGTCAGTCCTGGTAGTATTGCTTGCTTCATTTTGATTAATTGCTTTGGAATTAAGTACTCAAATTGATCAATATATTCATGAGACTTATTTATGGAAATCTAATGGTGACTCTAACTGGCAGGCAGAGGTTGAGTTCAGTATCTCAAATGGGGTGTGCGATAGACTTACCTCCACGTGGTACACCCTGGGCAACGTATACTCATACGGCAAAAAAGCCTATTAACTGGCAGTTGACTGCTGATTTCAAACTACCCTCACCCAATTGTATGTCATATTCCACTACTTCCACAGTACTCATCACACCTTTTCTCTGCCTTTGTGTCTGTCTGTCTCCTCTACATCTGTGAATCACTCTCCTATTCCCCCTCCTGAATTGTTCTCACTTTGATTTTCCTCTCTCTGCGAAGCCCAAAGTTAGCTAAATGCCTAATGGTGAATATTCAAAACGCCTGCCATTTGAAAAAAGGTATCTCAGAATAACTCAGTTTGGCGACTATATTCTATTTCAATTTTAGAAATTTTAACAATTTTCTTTAATTAAGGAGTTGCTAACTCTTTTATAATGTAATGAATAAGTGCACCAAACAGTAAGACTTCGAACACTGCCTAGTTAGCAAGAGAAAAATGCACAGGCTACCACCATGGTTTGCAGCCTGAATTTGCCAGAGGTTGAGTTATAAGAAAATAACTTTATTTAATTTGAGCAACATTTAGTTCACGTTGCCATAATAAATTAAATCATTACTCCAGAGTAGTCAAGTGTAAATTATATCTTTTTTGATACAAAAGGTCAAATTCGAAGTAAAAATGCTTTATTTTTGGATTTTATTGAAAAAAATATTTACGTTTGAAATAGAAGATAATACAATTTAAAGATTATTTTATAAAGAGACTATGAATTTTCTTACAAAATTAGTACACATCTATCTCATAAAAGGACACAATAATCAATATAGATACTTGAAACTTATTTTCGGAATCCCCAGTTATAATACTTGCTTTACACTTTAAAAAACACAGCTTAATTATGTAGATTAATTCGCTGAAATAACAAATTTAAGTGGATCGAAGCATACACTGTTTTCCACTCTCACATTCATTTATATCGTTTGAAATGAGATGGTAGTGTAGTCCCTGGTTCACTACAAATCAGGTAATAAAGTATTTTGTTGCAAGAATTATGTTTATTTCCAAACTACACGCCTTATGTATTCGTAAAAAAATACTAAGAAGGAGCTACCATATATAAGGATTCCGTAAAAGCTCGTTTTTTGTCAAATATTTTGGCAAAGAACGTAAAGAAAACACGGAGCTATCGCAAAACTGCAAATGGAAAGCATTTTTGGCTTTGATCGTTTAATCTAATTTTCCCATTTTTACTAATCACATAATTCATTTTAAATAGAAGTTATCAGTTTATCCACGTTGGTATTTTAATACGTCTTTTACTGTTGTATTATAAGAGAAAGTTTGTTCACCCACTCTTCGATAACTTTTCCTTTTATTTTAAAAAAATGCGGTTGTTAGTAAGTAGACATAATTTGACGCGAGGATTATATTCCTACAAAAGTTTAGCACACCCGTATTATAATTATGAATTATCTGAATAAATCTAAAGAAGATAAAATCATATATTGATAATTAGTGAAAATAGCTATATCTCAAACACACTAAGTCACATTGAGTTGAGTTATATTAACTTTCCGAAACAGCGAATGGTGGGAACATTCGAAATAAGCTGATCTGTTGATTGAATTATCTAAGTACGAATAAAAAAATTAAAGTATAATACGTAATATAAGCACATATAAACTTGTGAATAATTAACAATTTTATACATAATTCCTTGATTTAATATTATATTTACATTCTAGAACAATGCCCTCTGTTATAGTTATTAAAATCAAGTCACTGTAAATATATCATAAATCTTTTCAGAAATATATGATTTAGATAGGGAGTTAATAATTGTTTCCCTCTTACTTCTGTCTATTTTATAATATGTTATCATATTTTAAGCCTTTTTAAAATTGTTATAGTGGCTAAATAATTCATTACGCTGCATTCTGCGCCAACTATAGCTTTGAGTTTGCGGTAGGTGTGTGCATGTTTTGGGGTTATTTGCTTGGTTTATGTGAGTTTATTTTATCGTAATGGTATTTAATATCTTCAGTCGTTAACTGCATTTCAGATATACATCGTTTTTTCTGTCCTAAATAGTCCAATTAATAACTTTTGCATATTTTAGGGTATATAATAGATTATTCCACATTTCTTCCGACAATTAAAGTAATTTATCCGGTCATATTCGATTAATAACTGTCCAGAATGGCTCTCGATATAATCAATGAATACTTTCGCTTGGAGAAGATTGGCGAAGGTATTTTTTAAATTCAGCTTTATTTGATCTTATTAGGCACCTACGGTGTGGTTTACAAATGTCGGTGTCGGAAGTCAAATACTTTAAAGGCAATGAAAAGAATTAAACTTGAGAACTTCGATGACGGCATTCCAGCCACTGCATTAAGAGAGATTGCATTACTCAAAGAAGTTGCACATCCCAATATCGTGAAGTAACTATGTCTATTTTCACATATCTTCTAGTCTTGAGCGCATTGTAATGGATCGCGGTCGTTTGTTTCTTATATTCGAATTCTTAACCTTCGATCTTCGAAAGTATATAGAAAAACAACCCAATCGTCTTATTTCAAACAAGCTCATGCAATCCTTTATGTATCAAATGCTTCAGGGTCTTTTGTACTGTCATGCTCGCCGTATCATTCATCGGGATTTAAAACCCCAGAATGTGCTCGTTGATGTAGAGAGAAATGTCGTAAAATTAGCGGATTTCGGTTTAGCAAAGTCGCTAGGCTATCCACCGCGTAAAATGACGCACGAGGTTTGTTTTAACTACTACTTTAATATTTCCCAGATTGTAACCCTATGGTATCGGGCACCTGAAATCATGTTTGGTGAAGATTACTACTGTGCTGGTGTAGATATGTGGGCTATGGGCTGTATTTTCGCTGAACTTGCTGCGGGTGATCCGATTTTCCGTGGGGACTCAGAAATCGACCAGTTATTCAAGATATTCAAAATTCTTGGCGTTCCTACTGAAGAAACTTGGCCTGGTATAACTAGACTTCGCGATTACAATCCCATAATTTATCCCGAATGGCACTCCTTTAGAATCTACGATATAGCAGAATTTCAGGGTCGTCTAAATGAGGACGGATTTGATTTGCTCTCTGTAAGTATACCCATTTTTGCTGTGTATAATGAGAAACCTAAATTTATTGGTCTGATCGTTAATATTTTTTTTAAAAGCACGTCTTATATTCACATTGGTAGAGAGGGGACAGATTTGAATGATGATAGTGTTTTAACTCACAAGCGTAAAAGTGAGTTATTTCGTCTGCTTTTGCTTTGCATGTTTAGTTTCTAGGCTCAAAATTCAAGATCAGGTTAATAGTATTGCGACCTGGTTGGGGTCAGCTATACTCGTTAAGTCTATCACATGTGGTCGGTGTTAGGATGACTGCACTTAATAAAATTCTTTATATGATGTTAAGCTCGGCATCCATTTAATAAAACTACCAGCCTTTTATTATTTGATAATATCATTAGGTAAGATGTTAGCAATGCTTTACTTGCTAGAGGGAACCTGTGTAAGGATTGCTCTTATGATAGACGTTTGGTCATTCTCTTCTGGGGGTAATCGGAGGACTTGGGTGATCAACAATCATTTGCCTTCTGATTAAGATGGCATTTGTGTATTCCATTGTTCCAGTTTAGCTTTATAATGGGGAAAAATCCAAGTTTTCGCCTTTATTTAATCAATCCAGAATTAACTAATTTACATTTTATATAGTGTATATGTCAATTATGCTTAAAACTGATTGACGAATCGGTTTGGCAGTCCATCTGGCTCATTTAAAAACAAGTTTTCTATAGCGCTTTGGAGTTAACTTTAATTTCAAAGCCTACTAGGATGTCCATCCAAGTAAGGAAATCGATAAATTGTTTCTATTACTATGCAATTATAGTAGAGTAAGTCGTCTTGGGCTGTTGGTAGGTATCCGGAATACCTCCAACCATTCTGGGTAAAAATAATTACCGAATTGTGAATTCACAATTGTCACCCATTCGATATGTCTCATTATTTTAAGCTATTTTTTTCTCTTCAGAAAATGTTGTTATACGACCCTGTGAAGAGAATTAGTGCCCAGGAGGCTCTTTTACATCCCTATTTCTCCGATTTCGACTTGGATTCTGTCCCCGCAGTTGGAGAAGAATTTGTTGGTTTGCCTCCAAGCAGAATTCCAGAGAAATTCCTCGAGCTCTTCCAGTCTGCTGCCACCATTACCGATGACGTTACCGAAGAAGAGGCAGAAACCAAAAAGGTTTTTTTTGCTAAATTTCCTTTAATCCATGTCTTCTATTGCATACCATGGAGAATTGTTTAGCCTCTTTCTTTCTCTTCTTCCTTCCTTCCCTCCTCAGTTGAATATCCTGCCTAGTACAGTGATGTTGGGTGCCTCTACTTATCAAGTCGCAGCTGCTAGAGATCAAGTGATGCAGGAACAAGCTGGCGCTGAGATTGAAGAAACTGAGGAAGAGGAGGATGAGGAGATTTTCATGGATGTACGGGAACCCAAAAAACGTGCCCTACAGCCCCTGAACGAGAACCAACAGGTCAATATGTCGTTAGATTAAATTTCTGGTGTTGGCAGTGATGCATTTGTCTCTCTCATGATTTTGTGTTAACATTTTTGTCTAAATAAATGAATTCTGCTTTTTTTATGGTGCATGATTTAAATGAGTGTAGTGTAGTAGGAAGTGATGGCTCACAACATCTATATGTCAGTTATTCTCTGTTGTGATGAGTAAGGTTGATTAGATGATGCCTTTCATTAAGGCATGCTCGTTTTCTCTTCTTGCGCGTTCGGTACGCTCAATGTTGCCGATAATTGAGGAGATTTGGCGCACAATATTGTTCATGCCTTCTTCTACCTGGACTATGCGTTCATTCAGCTCCTCGCAGTCTTCTCGATCAGCGAACTGGGGAAATTAAAGGAAATTGTTGTTAGCTTCAATTTCGATGAGTTTGGACTATGCAACACTGTTTTTAGCAAACCTGCTTTTTACGTCTATCTACTCACGTGTCATTCTAGCAATACTCATTGGTGTACATCCAGAAATGTGAGCTGTAAGGTGCATTTGCTAATTCCGAAATATGTGAGCTATTCATTAGATCGGCTACAAAACCACCATATCCTAATAGAATTAACGTTGCAGTACTGATAGAACTCGAAGCGATAGTTAATCTGAAAGGGAATTTAATATCTTGGAAGGATTGGGACAATAGTCGTTTGAATTCACTTGATGACCAGCCAATAAGGAGCTTCGCTTTTTTTGGAGTCAATCGCTTCAGAATATTCGCCTCTAAGAAGTTTTAAATCGAATACGAACTGAAAAGTGTGCTTCGGAACGTAACCTTTCTAAATGGGTCCGAACTTTTTTTGGCCGACAAGCTGTGAACCGCCCTTGTTGATTAACGACCCCTCATCCTCATGAATAACTAAAAAGTTGCCAAGTTTCCACAAAAGATAACTAGGGTAAAGTGAAGGTATCCTTCTGTTGACATTATTTGATCTCTGGACTGATAGACGCACCTGTCGATCATTTCCGGGTAAACTGTTTACTAAATCAGTGAAAATCGTATCATATTACAACTTTCCCATCAACTTACCACATCTTTATTGGAATCGAGATTCGTCGACTCAGTATCCTTGGTTTTCTCCTCATCGTCGGAGTCCATTGGTTGGAAAGCAAGCTAAAATATATAATATGCCATGATATTGCTACTTTTATTTTTTCAGTAGTAGGGGTAAGCTTTTTGCGGAGTATTAGGGATGTTTAGCTTACCCCCAAACTGAAATCTTCACGCATTTTACGGCATTCAAGAAAGTCGAGCATATTATCACCATCCCTGTCGTATTTTTGAAAAATGAATGCGGCTTCCATCTCCGAATAACCAGCTCTAAATCAGACCAAAAAAAAGATTCTTAAAATATTCTCCATCTCTCTGTTAATGCCAATAATATTAAGAATTGCATGACAATTTGAGGGATTGTAGATAAGCCTTTGAGGTCGTTATTCTTTGAAACATCGCAGCTGAATGGGTCCACTCATTTGGCAAAATAGTCTATGAACCGGCAGTTGACTTCTGACTTCAAACTGCCATGACCCCACTGTATGTCATATTCCACCACTTCCACAATACTCATTTTGCCTTTTTCTTTGCCTTTGTGTCCGTCTATCTCTTTTGCATTCTTGAATCAATTTTCTGTTCGCCCTCTTGAATTTTTCTCCCCTCTGTGAAACTCGAAATCAGCTAAAGGGCTAATGATAGCTATCAAAACACCTGCTATTTGATATAAATGAATGAATATATATATTTCAAAAGCTGACCGACCTCGCCCTTGATAAACTACCTTTTTCATGCAGTCCTAGCACAATCTCTTCTGCTCTAACAAAATTGTACTTTTTGCAAATATTTTTCCGTTGAACGCGGATGATAATTAGGGGATTCAGACATCCCAGGATTCGACGGATACCTCAATTGATCTTTTGCGGAGACATTGAGGATGATTTTTCACTTAATAGACAAATATAGCACTTAAAGGAAAAAATTGTTTGAAGTTATTTTAGCGATGACTGTTCTGTATGTTCTCTCCCACCCCCGCATTTCTTGACATTCTCCGTTTGTGACAATGAAGATCGCGGTTTCCATCGTCTACACCATGAATTATCCTATCTATAAATTCGAACGGATAGCATGGACCAAAACTGTCATCGGAGAGGAGGTGTCGGCTATAAATGCTGGGCTCGAACCCCAGTTAAAATAGCCCTCCTGAAGTCCTACCTACAAGGGTTACACTATTATTATTTCAATTAGCCAATTGGAGCATTGAATGCCAGAATATTTTATAGCGTTGTTGGTTTAAACCTGATCCCTAATGAATTCATGCATTTCGTTTCTGCCTTTTGAAGCACACGAATGATCTGTGGGACACTTCATCAATGACAAAATAGAAGTCCTGCTATAGAATACTACTCCGAAATATTTAGCTATTAATGTTCAAGCGAATTATGCTAGAATTATCTTATAACTAATCGCTTTGCCAAAAAGGCACACTTTGCTATCAATATACGTACCGAATAAACGTATTCCGTGCTACACGTCTGTTTCCCTTATAGCTGGGCTATAGCTTAGCTTGTTCTGGGAGTCTAGCTAGATGTTGGAGAATCTGCCACTTAGAGATTTCTGAATCGGTCAGACTTTACTAGGGTAGCAAACCGCTACAGATCTGTCGCAAATAAGGTGCTTGTGCTTAGTCTTGTAGGATCCCAAATTTTACCCTATTGAAAATTATAAGTAATATATTAATTAGACTTCATAATTCGGACTAAGTTAGTCCAATTCACTATGATTATTTGTCTGGTTGTCCAACCTCTACTTGAGTCTTCTGTTTTTTGGCTTGAATGCTGTGAGGAGTGAAATTTCCACATTAATGTGGCCTATTAACTTCATAACACAACCATCATTAGATTAAGCTGATTTCAAATTACTTGAAATTTTAAGTCGTGTACTAGTCATGCATATGCGAAGAGTGCACTAAAGTCTATCAATAGGCAGTCAAATTAGCATAATTTTCTTACGATTTCATAGCTCGCCTCCAATTAGCAAAGGTGAGTTCCATTTTATCACCAACTTTTGCAGATTGAAGAACTTCGTCCAACAACGTTCGTCTTCGCTTCGAGAATCTCGCGAAGAATCCCTTGGAAATCTAAAGTAGCAGAGCGGGTATTTAAGTAAATTGAAGATCTTTAGAGCCGCTGGTCGCGTTTTTATATAAGAGTGGCAGTTAGAAAAGTCTAGCATTAATTAGGGCATTAAGTGGAGCGGATATGAGTCTCATTAGGCAAATAATTTATATCAAATGGCAGGCGTCTTGATGGTTATCATTAGCCATTTAGTCGACTTCAGACTTCCCAAAGGGCAAGGAACATCTAAGTGAAAAAAAGTCGAGAGGGGGGGGGTAGGGAAGAGAAGAGTGTTTCAAAGATGTAAAAGAGACAGACACAAAGGTAGAAAAGAAGGTGAGGTGAGAATTGTAGAAGAAGTCGAATATGACATACAATGGGGTGAGGGTAGTTTGAAGTGAGAAGTCAACTGCCAGTTAGTAGATTTTTTTGCCGTATGAGTATACGTTGCCCAGGGTGCACCACTTGGAGGCAAGTCCATCGCACACCCCCAACTCATTAGACAAATAATGAGGACGCATAACTCAATGCATGTCACTTGGATTGGTAACCAATCTAACGCATCTGTTGTTCTGCGTGTTATGTGTCTTTTTCACCTTGTCAAAAGCATATCTCATTGGAAAATAACTCTTAATTGTTGACTCTGTGGGACACGTCTTCTCACGCACACACACGCCAGGATGTAATCGACGTTTTATAAGTTGGCCTTGCGAAGTATGCCCTAAAATTTCGAACAGGAGGAAATGGAGAAGACCCACCTGATTCGGTGTCCAGCCCTAAAGACAACGACGGAAAGCCAGAGATACTGGGGAGCCAGAAGACAGCTAATGAATTGCTATTAATTAACTGCTATAAATGTACCCCCCCCCCTCTTGGGGGAAGCTGAAGTCAAATATTAAGGGCTAATGATAAATATCATAAAGCCTGCCATTCGAAATAATAATAGCAATTTCGAACATTTACAGTGTAATTAGCTTAGTGGTGAATGGAATCAGATTCTTCGAAACAGACAATTTTGCCAGATATGTCCCCCCCCCCATCCCCCAATTAAGACACACAATCTGTACGAAGGACGTGTCAGAAAATTTGAAATCGAATATAGAAATTGGTGCTCTTTCTCAAGGTGACATGTAATCAAAAAAATTTGTGGCGATATCTAATCACCAGCATGTTAAGAAATCAAAATGCTATAAATTGAGTTTGAATGTGTTGTGGTTCACAAAGCTACGACAGTATGATGTGCTGTGGTTGTGCCGGGTAGAACTCTCCATACAGCATTGCCAATAAGTGCCTACTCAAATCCTGGCCAAATGTATTCGCATGAAGTCTTATCATCTAATGACGAATGAACCAGTGTCTTGGAAACCACCACAAATCTACAGCTGCATTTGTGTGGATTGATCATCGACTCTTTACTGGAAACTCGATCGATTCAGCACTTCACTGGTCTTTTTGTGAATGGATCTGGTAGGAGCTGAAAGACGACGGTGTCAAGCAATGTGACGCCAAGTGCCCAATGACGTCACTCGCATGTAGACAAAAGATGGGCAGGTGCCTTCCGCAAATGCACAACAGTCTACGAAGACTTTGTCAGAAGCAGTCGGCCTTCTGACAGAACCCTCGGAAGAAGGGAAAGTCGAGCGGCTCCTTTATATCATCACTTCTCTAACTGATCCGCTCTAAATGATTTCATATTCACGCACAAGGTGTAACTGCGCCTGCAAACGATTTGGCTCTTATGATATCTCTTTGTTCGAGTTTATTTCGAACTTTGGTGTCACCGCTTCTCCGAAGAATCCATGTCATTGCGTACTTTTCCGCTTCACTGGAGAGATGCACTTTTCCCCAAAGTACCCCCTGCCAATATTATATTTTTATCGCATATAACCATGTCAACCATTTAATGAATCACGAAAGCGTGCAGCAGACTTCTAAGTGGAAGGACAGAGCAGGAGTCGCTTCAAATACGCCATTTGCTTAGTGAATACGTGAAATGTAGCTGGATAAGCGTTGTTTCCTACTTTTCTACTCTTCACTTTAAAAAATGCACCGATTTGAGGTGTTTCTTGAAAGAGCACCATCCGCAGTCAAACGTTGGAATTGTTTCGTTCCTCGGCGAGGGGGTTTGCAATGGAATCTTATGATCTTGATCTTACAATGGTGGTTACCGAAAGCCGCCGGTAGGCAGACACTTGGAAGAGCGGTTCAAAAGATGACCAAATTAAGGCAGGCAAGCTCTTTCAATGCTTCTCCTCCTTCCAACCACTCATTTTCCACCTCCTCCGTCTGGTTGCTTATAAAATCTCCATAATACTGATGAGAATAAAGGAGAAGGTGAATCAGTTCCTTATTCGAGGGAGAGAATCGTGGAGTTTACTTCTTATAAACACCACTTCGCAGTCAACTTGAGCTACTCCAACCATTTGGTGAGTTGAATGTCTTAATTATTAATGAGCAGAGTCAGCCATGCACTCTGTAGC